TCCTAGTGCAATACTGTTAGATAACATTAGATTACAAAGACCCAGTACCTGGAAACCTGCAAGAGACCCCACTACCTGCACTAGAAACTGCCTGTCTCGTTTTTTCTTGCTCTAAAGTCAAGCACACAAGTCACCGGGAAAGATCTGATCCTAACATAGTCCCCTAATTCACTCTGTATGATTTTATGGACACTAATCTCACCTGCAATAATACTCACCTGTAGGATCTTTTGCACCCCACGGGCAACATCGTAATGCTCACTGCCAACAATGTTGGGATCCATGATACGAGAGGTGGAGTCTAGAGGATCCACAGCTGGGTAGATGCCCAGTTCAGCAATAGCACGGGACAACACTGTGGTAGCATCCAAATGGGCAAAGGTAGTGGCAGGGGCAGGATCAGTCAAGTCATCAGCAGGCACATAGATAGCCTAAAGTGAGTCAAAAAGCCATGAGGAACAACAGAAGCCAAAGCTAATTCTACTTAAGCCATCCCCTTTTCTGACCTGTCCTCATTCTTACTCCATCTTAGCATTCAAAAGTCCACCTCAAAACAGCCTTCTTACCACCCTTAATAACTGCTAGTTTACAGATTATCTGGTCCCTCTAAGCCGTAATGAAAGGATTTCTATTGTCATTCCTTTAAAAAAAAATGTTTTTTTGTTGTTGTTTTTTTAAATATGGAACGCTTCACGAATTTGCGTGTCATCCTTGCGCAGGGACCATGCTAATCTTCTCTGTATCGTTCCAATTTTAGTGTATGTGCTGCCGAAGCGAGCACTAAAAAAAATGTTTTTATTGACTTTTAAGAGAGGGGAAGGGAGAGGGACCAAGATATATAGAGAGAAGTATGGAATGGCTGCCTCATGCCAGGCATGTGCCCTGACTAGGAATCAAACCAGCGACCACTTGGTTCATGAGTTGCTGTCCAACTACTGAGCACACCGGCTGGGCCATTCCTTTTGTTTTTCATCCTACATTTTAATTCTGTTATAGTCATAACCACTTTCTGAATTAAAACCAAAAAGCCTTGAACCACAATTCACTAGAAAAATTAATCATGGAAGTTGCCACACAACTTAGACAGTTTTATATAATTTTACTATAAACACCATATATAAATATTTAAAATTTTGTAATACACATTTAATTAATGCAATACACATTTACTGTTCCATTTCCATGTAGTTCCACTCCCCCTCAGGCTGGAAACCACTACTTTGTAATCTAGATTTACTCAACTATTTCAGATGAATGTTTAACCTTTTAGCATAAACATACAAAAATTTACCCTTAATTTCAGAGAGCACAAAAGCCTCGAGATGTAAGTAACTAAGTTTGATGCCTCTCTGTACATGCCTTTATGCAAATTAGACCTTCATTTACTTAATTGTTCTTACCTGTACAGAAGTGATAGATCCCTTCTTGGTAGTGGTGATTCTTTCCTGCATGGTACCCATATCAGTGGCCAGGGTAGGCTGGTAGCCTACAGCAGAAGGGATTCTGCCCAATAAAGCAGACACCTTAAAAAAAAAAAAAAAAAAAAAAAGGACTAAGAATGAAAGGTCTTGGATATCTGTATCTTTAGCCTCATTTGCATCAATCCATAGAAAGGCTAAATGAACTAGGTCTTCTTAAGCTTTCTCTCTTACCTCTGAGCCAGCCTGGGTGAAGCGAAAGATGTTATCGATAAACAGCAGCACATCTTGACCTTCTTGGTCTCTGAAGTATTCGGCCACGGTCAGTCCAGTCAGAGCTACCCGGGCACGAGCACCAGGTGGTTCATTCATTTGACCGTACACCAGTGCTACCTGCAATAATCACACACAATCAGAAAACTTGAATGTGGAGCTCAGGGATCATTTATGCGGGCTCCAAAGGCAGATTTATCCAAATGTAGGAAACTCGACTGCATAGTAATTAGTGGTAGTGGGGATTGTGTTAGCACTCTCCCCTAGCAAAAAGAAAATCCAACAGAGGAGTATGGAAGCCATATATCCAAGATCCCCAAATCAGTTAAACTCCAAAAAACTCTCCTTCTGAGGAGGTGTTAATGTTTTTATTCACAAACTTTGTTTCCCTCTTAGAGTTACAGTTCAAAACTCAAAGGATAATTTTTTGTATCACTGAGGTAAGTCTGAAAATTACTGAGGAAGTAAGTAGGCAGGAAATAAACTCTCCTCAAAATTAGCTTTCAAATGATGGGTCTATCTATTGGAGATAGACCATAAAAAGTCCAGAAATGTAATCAAATGTGTACTAGTGTGTATTACAAATTGGGAAGAAAACACTAACAGGAATTTCCTTTAAAGGTCCTGAGACACAAAATGAAAACAAAAACCATGGCTTCAGTTAGCAATGCAGTTAACTGCTGTAATTTTCTAGCACACCTACTATGTGAACACGAATCAGTTCAGGGCTCACCTTGGAGGTAGCATCTTTTAGGTTGATAACACCAGACTCAATCATTTCATGGTATAAGTCATTGCCCTCTCGGGTTCTCTCACCAACACCAGCAAACACAGAATAACCACCATGGGCTTTGGCAACGTTGTTGATTAACTCCATGATCAGTACAGTCTTGCCAACTCCTGCACCACCGAAGAGCCCTGGAAGAGGTTGAGAAAAAAAGAATAGTTAAGAGGTCTATGTTCCTAAAGAAGCAAATAAAAAAAAGGGGGGGGGAGGGGGGGAAGGGGGTTCTTTCCATCTTTTTCCCTCTCAGAAATGGCATCTGGCTTCAGCAAACTCAGAAGAACGAAAGTCAGAAGCTATTCATCAGTGAGGAATAGATCCTCAGGACCCACTCATAACATGGTGGGACTTTTTTCTTCCCACACTGTTTGGTAAATATGTACCCACCATTAACATACCAATTTTGCCACCCTTGGCATAGGGAGCCAGGAGATCCACAACCTTGATACCAGTAACCAAAATTTCCTGCTCAACACTCATCTCAATGAACTCCGGAGCCTCAGCATGAATAGCAGCAAATCTACAAAGGCAGAAGAGAAGACCAGTGTCTATTCACCTTGTTAAAAGGTTCCTCTCAATTCTCAAGTTAACCCTCATCTCCTCTTACCAATGGGAATTTCATTATCTTGGGAAACAATAATCCCTTTACTTGCCAACTTTAACTGTCATAAAAATTTTCCTTTGCCTGGCCAGCATGGCTCATTGGTTGAACATCAACCTATGAACTAGGAGGTCACAGTTTGATTCCTGTCAGGGCATATGCCTGGGCTGCAGGTTCAATCTGGGTGGGGCATGCAGGAGGCAACCCTTCAATGATTCTCTCTCATCATTAATGTTTTTTCCTCTCTCCCCCTCCTTTCTCTAAAATAAAAAAAAAGGATTTTCCTTTTACTGAGCCCTAACCTAACAGCACTTCTTCACAAACCAATCATGCAAGTTCTAAAAATCCCACAACATAAGCCATCAGCATTAAAACTCATTTAAATAATCAACTTGGGTCCTAAGCAGGGTTTTGTGGGTTTTTTTTACATTCAGAATTTCTGCATCCCTAATTTTCTTCAGAAGAAATTGCATTTTGTAGCTTTAATTGAATATGACATCATTTTAAGTATCCTCCACAGAAAAATTCTGCCATACTAAAAGGCGTCACCTAATGTATAACACTGCAAGAAAAAGCAGTTCCTTTGTGTATAGATGCAGCAAGAGCATACTTACTGTTTGGTTTTGATGGGGCCTCGCTCATCAATAGGTTCGCCAATGACATTCATAATTCTGCCCAAGGTCTCGGGACCAACAGGAATTCTGATTGGCGCACCAGAATCCAGGACTTTCTGGCCTCTGACCAAGCCTTCCGTACCATCCATGGCAATGGTCCTTACAGTGCTCTCACCTGTCAGATAAAGACACTGCATAAAAACCAAGATGGCTTCATGGTATCTAACATAGTGTAGGTGGCATGGGAGACGCAAGTCAGCCAGGGCTCCTTCTCAGAACCTAAAGGTGGCTTCAGCAAACTCAGAAGAACGAAAGTCATTTTGGTAAAATCATCACAGAAGGAAGACAGCCTGGATTGGGGCACGTTTGAGCCAAACTCTACATTCCTGACAATTCTACTTACCCAGATGCTGGGCCACCTCCAAAACCAGCCTGGTGTCCCTGCCTTGCACCTCCAGGGCATTCAGGATGGGAGGAAGTCCCTCGTCGAACTGGACGTCCACCACCGCACCGATGACGGCCACGATGCGCCCAGTGGCGGCGCCAGGCTTTGGCGAAGGGGACGTTTGGGCGGCATAGTCTCTGGCTAACGGACAAAAAGAGTGGAAGGAGCCGGGGTCAGGGCAGCTAAAAGGTCACGGGAAGCCCGGGCCTAACCCACAAGGGCCGCAGAACTCGGCCCAAGTCTGACCTCCTTCCGCTGGCAGGAAGGCGTGTCCGGAGGGAGGGCGGTGCAGGAACCCAAAAAGCGCCTGCACGTTTTCTCTCTTCGTACGCAAAACCCCATTATTCGAGAGGTCCGTGTCCCCGTCCCACGGGAAGGTCATTGCACCCGACCGTCACACTGCACCCCGCTTTTTGCAGAATAGGACGGAATTAGATGGAAAGAAAGCTCCCCGGGATGAATCGTTCTTGTTCTCCATCCGTTTAGAGGGCAGGGAGCGGCCATGGCCTTCTTCTCGCACCGGATACCTTAGGCCCGGGCGACAATGGCCCCCGGCTCAAGGTCATGGGGCTGCAGAAACAAACCCGGCTGCTACAAAAAGGCACTTACCGGGCTGGAGCGCTGCCGGGGCGGCCCGCAGTAAGAGCTGGGCTTGGGGTAACGGCGCTGAAGAGCTGAGTCCCCGCAAGGCCCCGGAGGCCGAGGCCGCGGCCACACGACCCACAAGCCCCAACATGGCGGAGTCCGGGTGGAGACTGAACGCTGCAGCGGCACCGGCCGCCAACATCCCGGCAATGGGGGCGAGGCCTACTCTACAGTAGGCGCCCCCATTGGATGAATGTGCTGCTCATCATCATCAGCGCTGCTCCTATAGGCTAATGATCTTTCATCTCCTCAGTCATTGGTCAACATTGGTGCTAATCTGGATTCCTTTTTTTTATTGGACATTGTCAGGCTAGGTGCCAACCCTCAGAGCCTCAAAGCTTAATTGGACGACAGGGACGTCATTCAGAGACGGCGCTTGGCGGAAGTACGTGTCGGAAAGGGGCCGAGTTCCTGTCGGGAAGCACGTGGGGGCGCTGGGCTGTCCTTGGGCTCTCCCCTCCGAGAGGACCTTGAGCTGGTGGACAGTCTCGGGGCGGGGGCTCGGGAAGCGGTATCTTAATTCAGCGCCGCTGATGGTGACCTTGGCGAAGTCCTGGCCTTCCCTAACAGTCTAAACACGACTTTCCTTTTTCGGTAGTAAGATTGGAAGCTTACAGACAGCTCAGCAGGTCAGCAATCCCGACCGATGCCACATGTACAATGAAGTAAGTTCATGTCAGCAGTCATTTAACAGATGTGTGCCTGGCATTAAAGAGATACAAATAAGGCCTAGGAGCTCCCTTTTAAGAGAGACAGAGGAGCAAACAGTGCAGTCAAGTGTGATGAGTCCTGGCTGAGTGCACGAAGGAGGAGATAAATTTGGGTCATCTAGAGATGGAGGGAATTGCCTCAGAGTGGAGGAGGCTGATGGGAAACGGTAGACATTACTTAGGTACATAAGAAGGAGGAATATTACAAGCACACCTTTGCATAAAATAGCATGTTCCTTTTGTGGAAATACAGGTGAGGAAAGGAAAAAGAGAGAGTAGCAGCAAAGAGATGAGTATAAAAAGAGAAACAGGAGCCAGGTCTCTACTTGGGGTGAGAGTGGAGGCTAGGTAGAGATAGATGTGTGGAAGTGTTCCATGAGTATGGAAAATCCTAGAATACACAGGACAATCTTTTCTGAAGTACTGATTTTATTCAGAGCTTTTTGGGGACAGGATGGGAGAGACCTTAAATCTGTTAGAACAAACATGACCATATGGAGTAGTTAAGCATGGAGTTATCTTCCCCAAATTTTCTCCCGCCAGCCCACATTAGTTCTCATTTTTCTGCATATAGTGAAAAAGTTTTCTGTTCAGCAGTGTAGGGATAGCCACTGACAGATTTAAAGGAGAAAACAGGAAGAGAATGTTAAATTTGAAGTGGTTATGGTAATCTTGCCTAGTAAGCGGGATAGACCCAAAGGAAAACAGCAACCTGTATGAAGCAAGCAGGAAAAAATGAACACACAAGGAAGCAGCAGAGGAATAAGAGGACCAATGACATTGGTGTTAAAAATCAAGGAAGGAATATTAAGGAGAGAAGTGGAATAGTATCAATCACATAATCATCATATAAAGTAAGAGCTGAAAAGGACCTACTGAAATTGGCAACCAGGAACTCATTCCATGGTGAAGATAATTTCAATGGACTTCATCAGTTAACACCAGATATAAAATTATTCATCTGTGCTCTTATGGAGGTGGGGAGGAGGTTGCAGGAAGCCGCCAATTGCTGTTTCTCTTTCACATAGATGTTTCTCTCTCCCTCTCCCTTCCTCTTTCTAAAAATGAATAAAAACGTGTTTTCTCTTCAAAAGGACCTATATCCCGGCTGGTGTGGCTCAATGGTTGAGTATGAACCAAGAGGTCACGGTTGGATTCCTGGTCAGGGCATGTGCCTAGTTTCAGGCTCTATCTCCAGTGTGGACCTTGGAGGAGGCAGCCAATCAATGATTCTCATCATTAATGTTTCGCTCCCTCTCCCTTCCTCTCTGAAATCAATAAAACTATGTTTAAACGTGTGTGTGTGTGTGTGTGTGTGTGTGTGTGTGTGTGTATACACACAAAAAAGGACCTATATCTTTTTTTTCTTTTCTTTTTTTTTTTTACAGAGAGGAAGGGAGAGGGATAGAGAGCTAGAAACATCAATGAGAGAAACATCCATCAGCTGCCTCCTGCACACCTCCTACTGGGGATGTGCCCGCAACCAAGGTACATGCCCTTGACCGGAATCGAACCCGGGACCTTTAGTCCGTAGGCTGATGCTCTATCCACTGAGCCAAACCGGTTTCAGCAGGAGTATATATTTCACTTGCTTCCCTCAACTAATAAAGTTTCTATAGATAGGATAGGATATTCCTTAAGAGTACTGCCAATGCAGCCATGCCATTGGCAAGTTATTTAAAATCTCTGCACTTTCTCTCCAGGGAGCAAACCTACCCTTTCTTCCCTGTCAAGGGAGTATCTCCTAAACTCTAAGGGCCCTCAAGAGACTTGCAACCAGCAGAGCAATGAGCAACTGCAGCTCACCCTAGGCTAACCCCTGAACCTGTCCCCTAGTTCCCCTTGTCTCTGACTTTCCAGAGAGCCAAAGCAGCTCCGCCTGGGCTCTCTCCTGTCGCTTTCTCTATCCAAAGCCCTTCCTTGTTCATTGTCCCATCTTTAATAAATGTACTCTCGAGCGTCGGCCTGCGGACTGAGGGGTCCCGGGTTCGATTCTGGTCAAGGGCATGTACCGTGGTTGCGGGCACATCCCCAGTGGGGGGTGTGCAGGAGGCGGCTGATCGATGATTCTCTCTCATTGATGTTTCTCTCTATCCCTCTCTCTTCCTCTCTGTGAAAAACCAATAAAATATATATTAAAAAAATAATAAATAAATAAATAAATAAATGTACTCTCAATAGCATAAGATCTCTGTACATCACTATCCTCGTCTATAAAAGAGATAATAAAATGGGAGTAACTCATAGGGTTGTTTTGAGAATTAAGTAGATTAATACATGAAAGAAGCATTTAGAACAAGCATGTCAAACTCAAAGGCTAACATGGGCCAAATAAACAAGGCTTAAGTTTATGTAGGCCACACACAAAAAAAAAGCTTCAATTTTCATAGAAATATAGGTTTATTTCGATAGAGATATGCTGAATAAATATTTTTAACATAAATAGAACATTTTAATAAAAATGTTTTTCTTGAATATTAACTTACCAGACACTGAATAACTGCAAAAATTAATGAGTGTAATGCAAATAAACTAATTTTTCTTGTTCTCCGAAAGCAAAATACTTCCTGTTGCACACACCAAAGTCAGTCCAAGACTAATGATGTGGCAATCGGCAGCTAAAATATTCGCTGCTAGTATTAGTGGAGAGAAATGGTGTGCCTGTGTGTAAGGGAAATGAATGCAACATCATTATAATAATCAGTCATTAGCAAACATTGTAGTTCCTTACTAATAATTATAACAATACTGTAAACATTAAGTTACAAAATTTTTATTAAACATTTCTTACATACCGATATATTTTTTTAAATGCACTTTTCGTTTTTTTTAAATATATTTTATTGATTTTTCACAGAGAGGAAGAGAGAGGGATAGAGGTAGAAACATCAATGTGAGAGAAACATCCATCAGCTGCCTCTTGCACACCCCCTACTGGGGATGTGCTTGCAACCAAGGTACATGCCCTTGACCGGTATAAACCTGGAACCCTTTAATTCACAGGCCGACACTCTATCCACGGAGTCAAACCAGTTAGGGCTATACAGTTATATTGGCTGGGCCGCAAAAATATTCGTTGTGGACCACATGTGGCCCGAGGGCCACCGAGTTTGACATGCTTAATTTAGAACAATGCCTGGCACACAGCGTTATTTGTGTCAGTTAGTATTTTTATTTTATTGATTTTTTACAGAGAGGAAGGGAGATGGATAGAATTAGAAACATTGATGAGAGAGAAACAATGATCAGCTGCCTCCTGTACACCCTCCCACTGGGGAAATGCCTGCAACCAAGGTACATGCTTTTGACTGGAATCGAACCCAGGATCTTTCAGTCCACAGGCCGACGCTCTATCCACTGAGCCAAACTGGTCAGGGCTCAGCTAGTATTTTTACTTACTATTGACTTAGTGGTAAGACCCTTTGGTCTTGGCCAAAATTTTATTAACCACCAAACAGTTAAACAATTAAATCCAGGTGTCAAAGTAAAGATTTTCACATAAATTTGAAGGTAACTGAAACTCATCACTTTAAAATCATCACTTTGGAGAGCAAGGGAGCATGAGATAGAAATATTGATGCGCCCTGGCTGGTGTGGCTCCATGAATGGAGCGTTGGTCTGAGGACTGAAGGGCCCTGGGTTCGATTCCGGTCAGGGGCATGTACCTTAGTTGCGGGCACATCCCCAGTGAGAGGTGTGCAGGAGGCAGCTGATCGATGTTTCTAGCTTTCTATCCCTCTCCCTTCCTCTCTGTAAAAAAATCAATAAAGTATATTAATATATATATATATATATATATATATACACACATACATATATATATATATATATATATATATATATATATATATATATATATATATATATATATTGATGAGCCGAAACCGATTTGGCTCAATGGATAGAGTGTCAGCTTGGGGACTGAAGGGTCCCAGGTTCGATTCCGGTCAAGGGCACGTACCTTGGTTGCGGGCACATCCCCAGTAGGGGGTGTGCAAGAGGCAGCTGATCAATGATTCCCTCTCATCGATGTTTCTATCTCTCTATTCCTCTCTCTTCCTCTCTGTAAAAAATCAATAAAATATATTTTTAAAAAATAAATAAATAAAATGTATTTATTTATTTCAAAGAGATGAAGGGAGAGGGAGAGATAGAAATATGTGCCCTGACTGGGAATGGAATCAGAGACCGAACTCCTGGCCAACTTCTGGACAAATAATATCATCTAGAGTTCTACTTCACATTTCTTTTTTCTTTTTTTTTCAAATATATTTTATTGATTTTGTACAGAGAGGAAGGGAGAGAGAGAGTTAGAAACATCTATGAGAGAAAGTGATCGATCAGCTGCCCCTTGCACACCCCCTACTGGGGATATGCCCGCAACCAAGGTACATGCCCTTGACCAGAATCGAACCCAGGACCCTTCAGTCCCCAAGCCGACGCTCTATCCATTGAGCCAAACCGGTTTTGGCTCTACTTCACATTTCTTGATTCCCTGATATCAGGTAATATTTCATGTAAAATACAAGTTACTTTACATGGGACAATAGGAACCACAAAAAACTAATCTGATTTCTTACCTGAAGTTAATTCCAAATGACTGACCCCATAATTTATGGCTGAAAACCATTTCAATTTTATCTTAAGGTAAAAATTGCATTTTCTGATTTACTTTATTGTCATTCCACTATGGTCACGCTCCATATTCTTCCAATATTCTGGTAATTGGTAGAATGTCTTCTATTTCTGCAATATTTCTTTTTTGAAATATATATATGTATTTTTAATATATTTTTATTGACTTCAGAGAAGGGGAAAAACATTAATGATGAGAATCATCAATTGGAGCCCCAAACCCGAGCATGTGCCCTGAATGGTTCATAGGTTGATGCTCACCCCTACACCACCCTAGCCAGATTCTCTTTTTTATTTTTATTTTACTACATTTCTTGTAATCATCTTGGATGATTTCAAATTCCATGAAAATAATCCATTCAGCTTCATAATTATTTAATCTTTTAAATTCCAATTAGTTTTATATTTCTCTTAAGTATCCTACTCACAGTCATTCCCAACTTTTGTCACTCTAAAAAGTTCTTCCTCAGTGCCGAAACCGGTTTGGCTCAGTGGATAGAGCGTCGGCCTGCGGTCAGAAAGGTCCCGGTTCTATTCCGGGCAAGGGCATGTACCTTGGTTACGGGCACATCCCCAATAGGGGGTGAGCAAGAGGCAGCTGATCGATGTTTCTCTCTCATTGATGTTTCTAACTCTCTATCCCTCTCTCTCCCTCTGTAAAAATCAATAAAATATATTTTAAAAAAAAGTTCTTCCTCAGAAATCCAATATTCTCAGATCAAATTACTTTTTACACAATACATATACTGTAGGTATAAAGGATTAAAATAAGTCCTTTCACCACTCCCCCTAAAGTTTCACCCCCTTCCACAGAAATAACTACTAAAAAAAACATTTTACATATGTCCCATTCACTTTCTATCCCAGGGGTGTCGAACTCAATCAGAGAAGGGGCCAAAATCTAAAATCCAGCCTAAATCGCGGGCCGAATGGTTTACTGAACAGTCATAAACTGACAATGTTAACCAGAAATGTGAATTTAAAATGAGTGGAACAATCTTTTCCTTAACAGTGCTGTTAACCAACTCACATGCTATCAAGCAAAACAGTAATATTGGTATCAAGCAAAACAGTAATATTGGAATGTACCTAAAATGCTCATTGTTTTGTTTTCTGGCTAGATGTCTGACACCGTTTTCCCCTGATCAATAAGTCAATGTTCGGTTTTATTTCTTGGGCTGTAGCAACCCGCAAAACAGCATGGAGGTTGTCATCGGTAATGCGTGATCTGTGCTTGTTTTTGTTCAGATTCTTTATTGAAAACATCTGTTCACAAAGATAGGTGCTCCCAAACATGGACAGAATACGGGCAGCATGAAGTCGGAGCTCTGGCATTGAGTCAGGGGGCAGTAGAGGGTAGAAGTCCTCAATTTCAACATCCTGAAACCTTGATTTCAGGCCACTGTCAGACTGAAGCTCGATTATCTCCATCTGAAGGTGATGGGGCACATTGTTGACATCAACTGTAAAAGGATTGGCAAAGATGTCAAAGCCTGAGTGCTGTG